CCAATTACCATAAAACATTTTTAACCAATGTTCAATTCATCAGATTTTATTGTTTTATATACAGATTTGTGTGTGGATTAGGCATCATGTTTTCCAATACATCTCCACTGGAGAATTACTTGCAGTATATGTATTGTGAAGCAAACTAAAATTCCACAAATAACAATAACGTGATACATGAGATAATGTTTGGAGTAGGACGGAAGGCTTGAACCTGCGTACTGGATGGCCTCCCCCCCATCCGCGCGCCCCTTCACACAGACCTTACCTTGCGGTTACCTTGTGGTGATTCCGAGGACCAACGTCCTCGCTGGTCGCTCTCTGACCAGGCCTCCTGATTAGTGGTCTGGTCAACCAGGCTGTTGGACGCGGCTGTTCGTAGTCTGACGTATGAAGCACAGGCTGATTAATCAGGTATCCATGGGACTTGTTTATCGAGTTCTCTCTTGAACACTGTGAGAAGCCTGCCAGTTATGGCCCTTATGTGTTGATCAAGGAAGAGTGTTGAAAAGTCTCGGGCCTTTGATGTTGATGAGTATTCTCTCAAAGTACACTTAATGCACCTCTGATTTACAATGGGGCTATTTTGCACACCCTGACATGCCTCCTGGTTTCATGTGAGGTTATTTCCGTGTGCAGATTTGGAACCAGTCCCTCTAATATTTTCCAAATATTAGGGGAAAATTATGATGTATCTCTCGGCTGCTTTCCAGAGAAAACATAAGTAAAAATAATTAATCGGTCCAAGTAATTTAGATGTTTTATAAAGTAGATTTTAGCAGTAAAGGTACTTTGCAAATTCTCCAAATCAACATTTTATCCAGTCTTAAATGGGGCTGATATTGTGCAACAATATTTCACCATAGAGAACACTATAGTGTCTTGAAAATAATAATCATTGGTATGGCATCCCTTGTGTGGAAGATCCTTGTTATCTAACCAGACATTTTTCTTGCAGTCGTGAAAAATACTTTACTGTGTGCTTTAAAGGTAAGGTCTTCCAACATGATTACTCTCAGATTCTTTGCAGTGCTTTTTCGTACTATAGTGTGATTTGATTACGTTTTATATGTGGTTTCCGTTTGTATATTTTAATTTCTTTCATACTGCAGGAGCTGGAACTTATCTTCATTAAAAACAATATTATTAACTATTCATTCGAAAGACCTGATTTACATCAGCTTAGACATTTGCTGTGTCCTCTATATTGTCTACTCTCATGAAAAACCTAGTGTCATCTGCAAAGGATGACACGGAACTATAGTTTGTAATCTTTTATATGACTGAATTGCGAATACAAGCACAGTATCATGGTGGAATGATATTTTTACGGTGGATGATCTGGATTTTACTGTGTTTAATATTGCACTCTGGGTTCTGTTTGTTAGGAAGTAAAAGAGTCACCTCCCTACTCTTCCGGAAATTCCTCTTGAATGCATTTTGTGGGCATTAACACCATGGTCACCTTTGCCTAAAGCTTTTGCAAAATCTGTGTATATAACATCAGCGTTTTGTTTGTCTTCCATGGCTTCTAAGGCCACTTGAAAATGATCTAACAATTGTGAGAGGCAAGAGCGCCCCGTTCTGAACCTGTGTTGTCCGGGGTTATGTAGACGTTGTGATTCCATGTGTTTTGTGAGCTTACTTATTAGCACTCTCACTAAGACTTTGATGATGTGTGAGAGGACTATTGGTCAATAATCTGTTATATCTGCTTTACTACCTCCTTTGTGAAGTGGCGAGAACTCCGTTGTTTTCAGTACGTCGGGGATAACACGGATATCTAGACTAAGTCTCCAAAGAATGTTAATGGCCTATGATAGTGGTGTTTTATAGTTCTTGGTGAATATAGAATTTCATGAATTTGGGCCTTGGTGCAGAGTGCATGGGCATGCTGTCTATGGTTGCTTTAAAGTCCACTGGGGTTAGGGAGACATCTGATATATGATTCGATGTTAGTGTCACAATCATTTAGAATTCGTTTGGATGATTGATCTTGAATGTGTTCAGAGGTTCACTGAAAACAGAGTCGTACTGAAGCCTAAATATTTCACTTATTTCTTTGCTCTCATCTGTGAAGGTTCCATCACCCTTGCACACGGGCCCAATGTTAGGTGTCGTTTTTGTTAGAGATGTTGCATAGCATTATTTTGTATTCCACTTTATTCACTTATGGCCTTTTTGCTCTCTTTCTCTCTTCTGGATTATATATGTTTCTTGCAGCTTGAGCTCGATCTTTTTCAATTCTGTGCACAGCCTTCCTTCTTGTTGCTGCAATAGAGTGCAGCGTCCGAGATGAAGATGTTCAGCGACGTGTTTTCTTCGCTAATATAAGGAACACCGTTCTCTTTCCAGTTTGCATATTTTTCTCGTTTTTTCTTAGTGGTATGTGACCTTCCACATATTTCGAGTGCTAATATGCCTAGTTTCTCGAAGCACTGATTTAAGTTTGCAGTGTCGAGCTGTTATTCCCGGCATATTTCTGCGATATCTTGGTTTATTTGTTCAGAGTTAATCACTTTGTTATTGAATTTGAATTTGACTGAATTCTCCACCTCGGATTTGAGACTGGGTTCTCAGGTCTATTGCCCAGGCTTGTTTGAACTTCGAATAGGTTGTGATCTGAGTAACATGAATTGTAATCATTATGTCCTAAATCAGTTCATCACTGTTTGTAAAAATAAGATCAATGGTGTTTTCTTTTCTAGTTGGTTGTACTATTTGCTGGTTCAAAGCAAATTTGTCACACATCCGCAGGAGGTTATATGTGTGTGTTCACTCAGAATGTTTCCTGGGACTCTCTCTACCATGACAGCATTTGACACATTTGGCCTTTTTAGATGCCTTAAGTTAAAATCTCGAGGCAAAATGATGTTAGGGAAAGGGTATGTGAGTTTGTTTTAAGCAGTATACTATTTTCAAAAGTTAGTCTTTAAACTGATGAGGATTGGCATTTGGTGATTTATGTACAAGGACAATCACTCTATTTATAATTTCTATTTTGAATATCAACACTTCCACCATATTGTTTGTGGTGTTTAGCGATTCAATGCAGATGAGTGTGTCTTTGATGTACTGGCTGACTCCACCCTGTAGCCTGTGTTTCCTCACATATTTGAAAAGATCCGGTATCCTTATCTGATTGTTATAATAGTCTTTAGTGTGAGTTTCTGTTAATTCAGAAAACACTGCATTTGCTTCATTTAAGAGGACAGGAATAAACTGAACATTATTCTGCGTGTTTTAATACTCTTGATACAGACCACGATAACTTTAAAGGTTATCGGGATCCATGGGCATCAGCGGTAACACAAACCGCTGATTCGATTCTGCTATCTTACTACAAGGATTTTCTCATACTACAATTTTTGATATCCCAACAAATATCCTTGAAAATTAAGTGCTATAAGCCAGCAACAAATTATTTTACCCAGACTTTCACTTATCCAAGACAGTAAAAAGTACAACCTACGCATCAAACTGCTTTTGCAAATCTCTCCTGTGATATTTTAGGGGAAAAAACACTTCCGTCCGGGACAGAAGGCATATCAGTGCGTTATCTTCCGGCGATAAGACGAAACTCGGAATTCGTCGGTTAAGTTTCCTCTCGTAAGAGCATTTCCTTGAGGAAAAAGAAATTGTGTTATATTTCTTTGACACCATCGCTTTCTGTCTCTCTTACGCTCTCTGATTAGATTTTGTCAACCTGATTTACCTGAGATATGTCTCACGGTCGCAGAGTTACAATATTACTGAAAAATGTTTCCTTATTCTCATTCGTGAGAGATATCTCCTTGCTACATCTGGTTAGGAATGTGTCCTAACTCACTTTGGACTGGTCGGTACAGCGACGACCTCGCTTCTTGCAGGGTCGCCGCTCGATCCCAGACTGTTCAAGTGGTCGGGGCACCTATCCTTCCCTCCGTCTAGTCTCAGTTCTTTCTCGTATCCCTTCCAAGTGCAATAGTGTTCCAATGACTTAGCGCTTTTTCCTAAAAGTTACTCCGCCTCGCCCTAGTGCGAGAGGTCTTGTAGTCCGTCCTCGTGAGAGATATCTCGCATCTCTCTCTAGTGAGAGAGGCCCTTGTATCTCTTCCAGGTGAGGGCGTATGTCTCGTGACGCAGCCTCTGTTGACACGACGCCAAGTTAACGCAGCTGCAAAGTGTTTTTTAAGAGTGTCAACAAAGCCCAGCTTTCCGGCTCAGCAGAGTGTGTTTATGCCCACGATGGCTAGACATACCCCAGTGTGTGTAGGACTATCCTGGACTATTCCTAGGCATTATTTCTAATCCAACAGGGATATGTCCCTCCCAGTCTCCTGGAATTAAACACATTTGTCTTCTTTCATCTTGAATTTATCTTGTGTCTTTGTCTTCCACCTGTCTCATTCCCGTCCCCTCCCTCATGTCTTCTTGCCGGCCTCCTGTATTCACGCATTCGGAAACCTGACTAAAATCCAGTTCTGAATTTCGTCTGTGAATTAGTTTAGTCCTAGAAGCTCTATAACGTTTCGGACACAATTTTCACGGAAATTTTTTTAATGTTAGACAATGGTCATGTATCAGAAAACATGACGAGAATTTGTACTGGATGGATAGTAGCCCTACCCAACGGATAGTAGGCCTACCCAACGGATAGTAGGGCCTACCCAATGGGGAAGTGTAGAATAAGCTGACTTTTCTGGCTATCCAGAGCAAAGAATGCAATTCCCGTGTTTTAGAGCAAGAAAAGTTTATTTTCGCCGGGGTTACAGAGAAAAGAAGTTCAGTTTCAGTGACGTTCTAGAGCAGAGAAGATCATTTTTGGGCTAACTTAAGGTAACTGGTGAACTTGTGATGGCTCAACTTGTCTAGCAGCTTCCTAGAGAAATGGATAACTTCCTTGTCCTCCCATTCCTCCTCCTCCTCCTGCTCCTCCTCCTCCTCCTGGGAGCAAGAGGCGCCCAGAGGTGCCAGTGGAGGACAGGGTATGCTGGGGATCGCGACGGGGAGGTGTTAGTGTGCCGGCAGCAGCGGTGAGGAACGGATCTCTCGCTCACCTCTCCCGTCCACCCGACCGCGATCGCTTTCGCGCTCAATTGTCCGGCTTGGGTCGCGCTCAGTTGTCCGGCCTGCCCCTCTGGGGGTGTTCGGTGGTCGTTGTGTCCTAAAGAAACGGGCTCAAAGATGTTATGAGTTGTATTTAGAAAGTCAATTGTGATTTTGTTCCCTGAAGTGAGTGCATGTGTGTGTGTGAGAGAGAGAGAGAGAGAGAGAGAGAGAGAGCGTGTTTCTCGATAATTAACTAACTACGGTAATTGTGCTAATCGCCTCGGGTGCAAATCGAACAACACAGCTAGAATTTTATTTTTGGGGGGGGGGGCCAATGAGAGCCAATTTAGCACTGATGAAACAAAGATTCTCATGAATTCGTAGATGGAAAAAAAGAGAAAAGTTTTAAGGTGACAGAGAAGAAGATATCTTCATATTTTATACAATTTTGCGTAATCTGTGAGCGAGACGGAGTCTTGCTTATTAAGACGTCAAGAGGAGTACAATTAGCGGACCAAGGGTCCTCTGACTCGGAGAAGAGAACTCTAGTTAAGGTAAGTGCTTGTACACGGGCAGCTGTTAATGCCCTGTCAGTTACGTCTGATGGGTTTGTGAGTCTTTCTTGTATGGCTTTTTTTTCCTTTTGTCTGTCTGTCTGTCTGTCTGTCTGTCTGTCTGTCTGTCTGTCTGTCTGTCTGTCTGTCTGTCTGTCTGTCTGTCTGTCTGTGTCTCTATCTCTCCCTCTCTTTCTTTCTCTCTCTTTCTCTCTCATTCATACACACCTACTCACACACATACACTCACTCACTCACTCACACACACACACACACACACACACACACACACACACACACACACACACACACACACACACACACACACACACACAAGACAAAGTTAGAGAAAGTTGAGAGGTATGCCAACAGGCTGGTCCCAGAACTTACGAGGTATGAGTTAATGCGAAAGACATCAGGAATTTAGCTTCCCGTCGCTGGAGACCGGAGAAATTAGAGGTTGAGACATGATCACCACTTTAAAAATTTTCATGGAAATGGCTAGGGCAAACAAGGACAGACTCGAACAAGGAGACTCCAGTGGAAGTGAATTCTCAGATTATTCCCAAGAGACAATATAAGCACACACACACACACACACACACACACACACACACACACACACACACACACACACACACACACACACACACACACACACACATTCACACACACACACACACACACACACACACACACACCCACACACACACACACACACACACACACACACACACACACACACACACACACACACACACAGAAAAGCAAGCATCTTGGATCCCGGGTTCGATCCCCGGCAGAGGCAAAAACAAATGGGCAGAGTTTTTTTCACCTTGACGCCTCTGTTCACCTAGCAGTAAATAGATACCTAGGAGTTAGACAGATGCGACGGGCTGCTTCCTGGGAATGTGTGTGTGCGCGTGTGTTAGAGAGAAATATATGTAGTAGAGATAATAGAGAAAAATAAATTGGTTAGAAAGGCGGGGTCGATGAGCTAATAGATACAAATAGTAAATACACACAAACACACAAGTCGACCAAATTGACAAAGAGGTGTTCTTGTAAGCTGCAACTTGAAGCAAAAGAGGTCATAGATTCAAGCTAAGGAAACAAAGGTGCAGAAAATATATTATAAACCCTGGAAACACAAAGGTGCCGAAAATATATTATAAACCCTGGAAACACAAACCGAAATTGTCTCTATTTTCCGTTTGTTACAACTTGTAATAAAGTTGTTACATCTTGGCTTAAGGTGTTTATGACGTATTAGAACGTTGTTACAACTTGCTATATTGGTTGTTATAACTGGTTAAGTGGTGTTAAAACTTGTTCGAACGTTGTACCAACGTCGTAGGTTCGGTGTGTGTTTGTTTGGCGGGAAAGTTCTCTTGAAAGTGTTCGGCTGAAACCAGTGAGAAGGTGGTGGAGGCGGAGGGCCAAACCCTCAGTAGTCTCAAAGCGGTCAAATAACGAATAGAACTAAGAAGACCACGAGCGTAGTTCTCGATCTCTAACTGCACCTTAGGCAATTGCCATTCGGTTAATTACACACAAACACACACACACACACACACTCACACTCACACACACACACACACACACACACACACACACACACACACACACACACACACACACACACATTACTAAACTCCTGAAATTTTTTGCTGAATCTCTCACTGTTTAAACTATACAATTTTAAACTGTTTAAACTTTCTCACCCTATCCCTCCTCTCCTTCTCTCCGTCCCCCCCTCACCAATTCCCCTCACTTCCCCTCATCCCCACCTCCATCCTCCCGCTATTCAACATTCCTGCCTCTATTCTCAGATAGAAAAATAGATTCTCTTCACTCTCATCTATTAATTAACCCGTGGTAGGGAGGAGTTTTAGCCGAACGGGGAGAAGGCAGTCACGATGTTTAAGGCAAGGAAGTCAACTACGGTTGAATTCCTTGTGGGGTAACTACTGGTTGTATTCCACGAGAGGTAACTACGGTTGTATTCCACGCGAGGCAACTATAGTTGTATTTCACGCGGGGTAACTACTTATTGTATTTCACGCTGGGTAACTACAGTTGTATTCCACGAAAGGTAACAACAGTTGTATTTCATGTTGGGGTAGCTACGGTTGTATTCCACCGTGGTAACTACGATTGTATTCCACGCGTGGTAACTACGATTGTATTCCACGCGAGGTAACTTCCGTTGTATTCCACGCGGGGTAACTACGGTTGTATTCCACGCGAGGTAACTACGGTTGTATTCCACGCGAGGTAACTACGGTTGTATTCCACGCGAGGTAACTACGGTTGTATTCCACGCGGGGTAACTACAGTTGTATTCCACGCGAGATAACTACTGATTGTATTCCACGTGAGGTAACAACTGTTGTATTTCACGCGTGGTAACTTCGGTTGTATTCCACGCGAGGTAACTACGGTTGTATTCTATGCGAAGTAACTACTGGTTGTATTCCACACGAGGTAACTACTGGTTGTATTCCACCTTGGGTAACTGCGGTTGCTTTGTATGCGAGGTATCTACCGTTGTATTCCACTCGGTAACAACAGCTGTATTATACGCGAGGCAACTATAGTTGTATTCCTTTAGATCGAGATTTAACAACGGTTGTATTACAACCGAGGTAAGAACAGTTTTTATTCCAAGTGAATGAACTACAGCTGTATTCCACGCGAGTTACCGACGGTTGTATTCCACGTGAGGTAACTACAGCTGTATTCAACGTAAAATAACTGCAATTGTATTACAAATGAGGTAACTGCAATTGTATTCTACTTGATGTAACTTTATTTGTATTCCACACGAAGTAACTCAAAATGTATTCCCCGCAAAGTAACTACAAATGTAGTTAGGAAGTAAAAGTAAAGTAAAGTAACGTAAAGTAACATTTTAGGCCTCAAAATGTTACTCAGAACTCAAAATTCCACGCGAAGGAACTCAAAATGTATTCCATGCTAAGTAACTACAAATGTATTCCAAGTGAAGTAACTCAAAATGTATTCCATGCTAAGTAACCTACATATGTATTCCTCGCTAAGTAACTACGCAAGGAGGCTCCATCATATGAGACTGGTGGAAGGGCCAGTCGCTAGGTAACATTCTAGTGAGAATGTTACCTAGAATGTTATCATTCTCTGGTGAAAATGTTACCTACCTCCAAATTTCTAAGAAATGTTACCTAGCAATTACTTACCTCCCAATTTCCCGGGAAAACTTTCTGATACATAATTTTGTATAAAAGTCTTCGTATACGGACCGAAGGTTTTAGGGAGCAATTAGCAAACGAAAAGTTGTATAAGGATGGATAGGTTCCGTGGATCAAGTTACTACAGTTATATTCCACGCAAGGTAACTACAGTTGTATTAAACGTAAGGTAACTACAGTTGTATTAAACGTAAGGTAACTACTCCACCCAATTGGCAGCCTCTATCTCCCTATTCCCTCCACCTTCCCACATCTCCGAACATTCTCACTGTGCGTATTTTCGCATAGAAACCAAATTGAAGAGCAATTTGAAATTTTATTCGCAACAGTAATTTGAAATTGTAAGCACACCAGTTCTTAATAACTGCAAACGTAACTTTTGTGTTTGATATTGTAGATGCAACACATGAGAAATTGTGAGTGTCACAATCACTTACAATTATAAGCACTGCCAAATTTCGAAATATAAGCGCAACAATAATTGGTAAGTGTAAGTGCAACAGCTTTTTTAAATGAAGCCATTTTTTTGTTAATTATCATTTTTTTATAACTCGTGGCGCTAATATAGTTTTCCATTTATGTAAAAGTTGAAGGTCAATTTTGACACGAAAATTCGAGAGTCGAGCATTTCTCAGAATAGAGGAAATCACAGTGATTGGAAGTAATAATTCTTTCCACAATGTTTATAACATAAATACATCAATGTCTATAGTACCCAGTGTCAGTACGAAGCTGGAGACCAGATATAAGATCCTGAGACGTGAGATTACCTCACCAAACTTTGCAGGGTGACTGCTCTTTGGTTAGGGAGGATCAGAGGGTGTTTGTTCAGGGTCGACACCCATATGCTCCCAGTGTATCAAGTGGCCACTCACGCTAATTTTCAATCTCGCTAAAAGCTTGAATCCTTCCTTGTTATAACTCATGCAGCAATGTCGTTCCTACACGACGATTATATATTAATTTCTCTCAAGTATTGTGTATTGAAGATGGTTACAGCAGTGAGGAGTAGGTAAGGTGATGAGAGGTAGAGAAGGGTAGGGAGAGTGGCGAAGGGTAGACAATGCAGTGAAAGGTAAGGAAGATACCGGTGGGTAGGGAAGGTACTGAAGGGTGCTAATGGACAGGGAAGATAGCAAAGGGTAGGGAAGGTGGTGAAAGGTAGGGAAGGTGGTGAAGGGTAGGGAAGGTGGTGAAAGGTAGGGAAGGTGGTGAAGGGTAGGGAAGGTGGTGAAGGGTAGGGAAGGTGGTGAAGGGTAGGGAAGGTGGTGAAGGGTGGGGAAGGTGGTGAAGGGTAGGGAAGGTGGTGAAGGGTAGGGAAGGTGGTGAAGGGTAGGGAAGGTGGTGAAGGGTAGGGAAGGTGGTGAAGAGTAGGGAAGGTGGTGAAGGGTAGGGAAGGTGGTGAAGGGTAGGGAAGGTGGTGAAGGGTAGGGAAGGTGGTGAAGGGTAGGGAAGGTGGTGAAGGGTAGGGAAGGTGGTGAAGGGTAGGGAAGGTGGTGAAGGGTAGGGAAGGTGGTGAAGGGTAGGGAAGGTGGTGAAGGGTAGGGAAGGTGGTGAAGGGTAGGGAAGGTGGTGAAGGGTAGGGAAGGTGGTGAAGAGTACGGAAGGTGGTGATAGGGGTAGGGAAAGTGGTGAAAGGTAGAGAAGATGGTGAAGGGAAGGGAACTATCAGGAGAAAGCGCCAAGTCAATACGACTATAGTGCACATGCAAGTGATCAGGAGAAGGATTTGTGATAGGACTGGGGGAAAGAAATGGTGCCCAGCCACTT